AGTCTTTTTTGCGTACCACTATTTCCTTTTCATGAGGTGTTTTCCAGTTAATGCGCGAAAATTGGATTCGAAAGTGTGGTGCATGCATCAAATATGGTGGTGGACATTTTGAGTGTATGTTGCAGTTTGTTTTATACTTGTGCATTTAAAAAGTACTGAATTTTACTTTTTGGTTACCTAAATTATTTTTAATACGTCCTATGATTATTTGGACGACGTGAATCTTTGGGTACTTTAATTACATTATTTTTTAATTTCACTAATAGTTATTTTTGTATCTAGTGCGCGAAATGCTACTTTGGTGATCGAGAATTGAATTTTTTAACGAGGCGAGACCACCAAAGTAGTTCGCGCACGAGATGCAAACAATATTTTTTCTACAAACGTCAAAATCTATCTCTTAAAAATATTATAAATAAGTGAAATGCCTAATTTATTATAGAAAATAGTGTTGAGCTGGCTTAAAATGTCTTTCCTAATCAAATTTTCACTGTTACTATGGAAAAAAAGTGGCTGTTGTTGACAACAATAATAATTATTTTAATACAAAACTCTTATTAATTTACATGCAGTGTGCGAAATACTTCGCACCCTAGTGCGCGAAGTATTTCGCGCATGGTGTCATGGTAACGTAAGAATCCGAAAAAAAGTGTCACTTCGCATATTGTTGTCAATGCGCAAACCTTGTCATTTTTTGACGTTTGTAGAAAAAAGTTGTTTGTTTTAAGAGATTCATAATTGCTAAAAGTCGAGCTAAAATTTTAGCACAACACTATCTTCATACTACAAAATCGACAAATTTTATTTTATTTATTAAAAAACTGGAAAATAATTGTCTTGAAATTTACTAAATGTTTTACAATAATAGTTGTTTACATTTTTGTTATTCCGTAGGACAAGTCCGCCGCGTGCACACGTGGTTGCATCAGCTGTGTAATATTAGGTTAAGCGCTGTTGCCACGTTGTGGTGAAACTCCCCAATATTAATACTCGCTGTATTTTGAAAACTGTTAATTTTACGCCCCTGTAATATACAACTTTTTTGATAATTTATAATTACTTTATCTCATTCTGAAGTAATGGCAGACAAACTTCTTACATCCTGTATAAAGTTACATTAGGTCAGATTGAGTTTTTTTACATAAAGCTTAAAAATATTATCATTGAGTAAGTATACTATTTACAAACGTAGTATCCCATTCATTAGATACATTAAATAGTAAAATAATATTATTGGTAGAATAAACATAAACGTTAAATGAAAAAATGTTTATATTTTTTCTCACATGATGTTCATTTTAATGAGTTTGCTGCCCCTCAGAGACTGACAGGCAAACGAGGGAGGGGGACATTCAAGAGCATTTCGCATGACATAAAATGATAAATACGTTAAATAAACATATTTTTCCCCTAATTTTCTGAAAATATGCCCCCCAGGAATTATGAAGTTACATGTGTTTTAATTGATACAAGACTTTATAATGTTGCAGATAATGATAATTGTTTGGATTGTGTGAAGCGCTTTTTTCTGAAAACTAGATTCGATCGCTTAAAAATGACCCCAGATTCTCGATTCTGCGGACTCTCGAAAACAGGGGGTAGAATAAAAATTGTGAGGATTTAGGTGTTTCCCGCTACACTGATAATAATTATCGTATTTCGAAATAAAGAAAACATAGCAATTTGTTAGACTTTCAAGCGGGGCCTAGGCGTAAAGATTTATGAGAAACGAGTATTAACGGAAAGCGGCGACCCCGAATATCTTTCCCCAAAAACAGGGGAAGTGGGGAGCCCCTCTCACACGCCAATATATTTCGAATCATGCCGCTCCAGATGCTGGCGTAATGCGGAACGTAACTGGTAACGTAGATATTGCCCTCGGAAATCAATAAATGTACCTGTAATAATATATCCCGCATGTACACGTCTGTCAGAGAAAGCGAAAATCGGATCGGTTCTCCTGGATGTGATCCAAAGGGTTCTGCCACTTGATGTTGATTAATACGTGCGTTAATATCAGAAAGACCCTTTGACATTTTTATAATTGGATTTTCTGGAATGGGGGCAAAGGGCAGATTGATTTAATTTGATTGTTTTTAATAAATGTTGGAGTGGCACAGAGGTAGAGCACCCACACTTTAGTCAAGTAGGTCTTCATCAATTTGGTGTACAGGGTGTTCTGAAAGTCCGTCAGGAAACTCCGGCAGGTGATTTTACAGATTAAAATAATAGTAGTAGGTATGTAATGAAATTTTTTTCGAATTGTCAATTGTTTGCAAGTTACAGCTTGTCAAAGTTCAATTTTTTTAATTTTTCTATTTAAATAATTTATTTAATTCAAGTGCGATTAGTCTCTGATTTGGCATACCCACTAAGTAGATGAAGCTCTATTGGACCAGTTAGAAAAAAGTTTTATTATGCGCCGCTAGAGGGCACTTTACCTAAAGAATTTGTTTTGTTCATAACTTTTTCTCTTGCTAGACATCACAGATATTTAAACATTATTGAAAAGAAAAATAATATAAAAAAAATATGTACTCTTAATTCAAGTCGATAAATGTAACCGTTTATCAGGAAATCGTTTTTAATCGCTATTAAAGTGTTATTAAACATAAAATTTTTAATAATTGACAATTCGAAAAAAGAATCATTACATACTCCTATTATTTTAATCTGTAGAATCACCTCCCGGAATTTCCTAACGGACTTTCAGAATACCCTGTATACAGGATTTTACAAAAATTTCGGAAAATATTTTACTATACTCTATTTATGATAAGTTTTCAACGTCACATTTAGTAATTAAGTGCAGCCAGTAGAATAATACTAAATTCTTACTACGTACTGAATTAACTTTGCTGCAATTGCAATTGACAGACATTTCACATTTTCGTTATTTCTGAATGCAAGATAAAAAAATATCAGTTGACCCTACGAAATGTGACGCCTGTGGTTACAATTAAAAAATAATTTTCACATCAAAAGGTTGTCCGTATAACCTAAGTTTGATCCTTCTACGTGAACACGATCTGAACAATTAAAAAAAACAATGTCAAAGACGGCCATCTTCAATGAACCCTACCCCCTCTTAGAAAGGATTTTTGGATAAGACGATTTATGTCAAATCGATATGAAATCATCCCTAGAATTTGCTGTCGTCATTTGTTTAGTTTCCGGATACCCTGAAACGGATGTAATATTTTTTTGTTCAATACAGGCCATACAAAATTAGGTGATAAACGAAGATTACTTGCTGTACGCCGAACATTAATTGAAGAGTTGTCAATGACAGCATCTATTATATCTTCTTCATTTTGTACATTCACTTCAGTAGGACGAATGGCCTTTTTTGGAGCGATGTTACCTTTTTCTCGAAGTCTACAAATGGTGTACTAAAGACTGTGTGGGTAGGTTGATGTCTATTTGGGTATTGTCAATTCTGAGATTGCTTGTCTATCGTTCCCATTGGAATACCCATATACAAAGACAATATCTGCATGTTCTTCAATTGTAAACAAATGCATTTTTTATTTAGCATTTTAACACTAAATGTCAAATGAACAAACAAAATGATACTAATAATAATAACTATTGTTATAGCAACTATCATTTTTATTTATCAGGCTATTTTGATTGAAATACATATGAAATTAAATTTTTTTAAATACTAGCAACTTTTCATACAAGAAAAAATGTTTGAAGCTAAACCAGTTACCATCTATCAAAGTTTGTCATAGAGATTGTAAAACACCCTGTATAGGCAGATTTTGAAATTGGATTAACACCAAAAAACTTAAATTTTCATTACTAAAAACACTCTGTATTCCGATTTTTTTCTAAATGGTGGACTCAAACGTACGCCTTAAGACAAACTGGCCATTTTTTGAATGTCATTTTTCAGGAGGAAAAAGAAAGTTAACTGATTCTGTACGATTTGATATTGTTTCCGTGCAGATTATCTCAGTTTCCCTTATAGAGTGTGTCATTATTTTCCCCCAAAAGACAATTTATTTTTTCATTAAAACGTACTAATTACCATCAAGAAAAACTACTGAACTTACAAAGCTATATATTAAGTTCAGCAAACAGGTACACAGCCTCCATAAATGATTACAAGCCAGGTGATCAGGAATTTTTTTTGAAACAGTAATTTCATTGCCTTCGCGTTGGCAATTGAATTTTGGTAAAATTAAAAGTTGTTGAAATAGTAAGATCAAGGTTACGTTAGAACACAAAATTGATTCACTAACTTGTGATTGGTGTAATTTTTCACGAAATTTTATTCAACCAATCGGCGATCGCATTAATTGGAACGGTTTGTCATTGTTCATTATAAACGAATCAGTAACAGTGATATGTAAATGTCAAAAACTTGTTTATTACACTTATACTCCAGGGAAAAGTGGAATAACAAAAACTAGTAATATTTATTTATTTAAGAGACTTTTATAAAGTATGATTCTAGATTCACTCGAACTGACAGTTGTTTTCTCCATCTCCTAAGAAATTTATTTGCCAGTTACTGTCGAACTCTGTCTCGTGAAGAACACATGGATAAAAAAGTGACAGAGATACCTATATTTAATTGGCCGTTAAGTTTACTTGACAGTTGAAAAGCAGGGTCCTTAGTAGTGCCACTTTTCAGATGTCATATTACTTTACGTCTTCAAAAGCTCCATTCCTCACGTCCTTTTTTATGTCAAAACCGCTGGTTAATTCTATCTGTTTATAGTAGACATGAAGCAACTAAGTTCGTGAAATATTTGCGGACGTAATATCATTTTACTTCCATAAAGCGACATTTTTGGTCGCTTGGAAATGAGTCCATAAAACCGCATTTTATGGCGAAGTCGGCGGAAATGTTGTTTAAAATTATTGTAACTTTGTCATAGAGGGGCAAAAAAAACATTTGGCCATTGGACCAATATGCTACCAATTCGATAAAGAAGAAATTAAATTAAATATCTACTACGAAAACCAAAAGAAGTTTTTCCACCTACCTTTTTCCCGAGCGCGCTTCCTCCTGTAAGAACGACGCTGATCAAGATGGCCATGATCAGCGTTTGTGTTTTCCAGAAAAAGCTTTCCTCCATTACGCATCCTCATTGGTACTGAAACAAGAAAATATATGTAACGATCTCGTTTTATGCATTAGAAATAGCCATTAGATATAAATTTAAGTCCACTACTATTAATTAAATTCTTATTAATATCCTAATCCAACAAAATCCTGTCGACGCGCTCAAAACCGCTCGGATCAGCCACAAACCGCTCTATCCAGGGCAGTCGACATCAACGAAGGACGATGCTGTCGACAGCGACATCCGCTCCAAGCAGCCAAAACACTCCATCGTAGTAGCCCATATCCCCAATAACGTGACGACGACAGTTTCAAATTTCGGAGGAAAAAATTCTCCAAAATGGACGAAACTTGACCTGCCGAAAATATAATACCCACTACTAATCAATAGAGATCAATTCAGAAGGATGTAACTTTGTAGAGGTCCGGAAATGGTCGGGAAGGCAGAACAGCGCAGGAGGAATGGTGCTGTACTAAACCGAACCATGCGAGAGAGTAAACAGCGGAAATTCCCCTGCCTGTGACTGAACGTCGACCTGATCCATCAACAGAAATATGTATAACCAGGGCACGGATGCTTAGCTAATGTACACGCTCAAAATTGTATTGTATTGTATTCTATGTAGGCTACATACATACATTCATTTATTGATATTTAAGACCGAAATAATCAATAAAAACCAATACTTCTTAAAATATTATTATATTCTCTCTAAAAATAACAGCACGAAGACTTTAGCTCAAATAGCTCTTCAATCTACCTGCGGCGAAGACTCTCAGGGGTACCCAGCTCTTATCTTGCCATAAACAACAGCTGAATCACACCAGTTTCCGCATTGCTGCACTGCACTGCTAGACAGTTTGTCAACCACTAGTCAACAACTGAGATTTATTGCCCAGTCGCTCAGTGCAACAGTGTTATACGCCGTTTACCCTCGCGTGCATTCAACTGGTTGTATACATTTCTACCACCTGCACGTTTAGTTCGACCAGACCTGTGTATGGGTATGGTTAGATAAATATGGGAACAAGTTTTTCAAATATTTCAATGCCGAGTTGCTGCTTCAGCGACCGACCCTGGTACATACTGCCTAGCTCTTGGTTCTTCAATTGAGATCAGAAAGAATATACAAATGCAACAGACCAGACCAATGCTTGAGAACGATGGTGAGAAACAAAATCCACGGCAGTACGGTCCATCAAAATTAGTGGCGCTCTAAATTTAGGGGAGATTAATTCATTCTAACCCCACAGTTTACAACCTGTAGAGAAGAGAGTAAGTGAACCTAGTTTTATATTTCTCAGATAATGTCTTTGTCTCGTTCAATAACTAGAAGTGAACATTATAGATATATGTAATTTAGAGAAACGAAAGTACATTATTATCTAGTTGTGCTTATTTTGCATAAAAATGACAGAATATGTTTTAATTCATTATAGATAGATATTTATTAGTGTTACATACACAAAAATGTTTACATACGTCAAAAGAATTTAATAATAGTATATAATCATTAGGTAAAAATAGTAAAACAAACACATACACACGCACGCGCGCAGCACGCACGCCCACACACACACACACACACACACACACACACGAGCACCTGTGTTGACACATGATTGATACAATTTACTGTAATAGCTGGAACTATTGAACCGTTTATATTCAGAGTACGCAGTTCTTTCAAGCGTATTAACAAAATTTTTATATCACTATGATAGCACACTATTTTTTATTACTGTTTCTATTATTCAGGTTTCTTTAATGAATTAAAGTAGAAATTTCACCACCCACTAGGCAAAAAGAAACAATAATGTCTTCAAACTAACTTACATGACTATTTTTGCATAGATAAATGGTTAACCATCAACATTCATCAACGACTTCGTTAATTTTAATTGTAATGCAATTTGTTAAAATTTCATAGTGACGTTTCCGTTAGTTAAAGGCTTCGTGTTATAAAACTAAACCGCTCATGATCCGATAATTGAAACCCTTGTTACGGATGACGGATGCCCTGTAGGGATAGTAGGATACTACATTACCTAATCCATAACTCACAGAAGGTGTTAATCTGTTAAATTTCCCGTGGGATGAAATATCATAGGTGGGAGGCGCTTAAACACCGTATTATAGTTGGAATTTACCTCAAATAGTCGTTCTTATTTGCCTCCGGATATCCAGTTGGTTAGTAGATACCGATAACTGGTACGTATCTGTATAAAACGGTCACATAATTCAATGGGCTTCGGCCTCAATTTTGGAGAAGGAAAATGATATCGCTGCAAGAAAATTAAAATTTTACTTTAAAATTATTCTGTTAACTTAGATGGAAGAAAAAAAGTGCACAAAAACCTAATTTACCCTATCAAAAGAATATCTTAAAATATAGATACCAAAAATCCAAGTGTATTGGGAAATGGATTCAGTGAAAAAAAAAAAAAATTCCGAAAAAACTATCATGGTAATCTTGTTTTGAAACTGGTTGTTTTGTCGGTCACCTTTTCTATGTGATCCTCTAGGTTCAGCCCTGAAAGAACTATACAATACAGAACTTTCTACAGATTCTTTAAAATATGAAACATTTTTGCACCGACTGCTATTTGGGATTTACTGGAAGCACATGAGCACATCTTTCTCAGTTACACTGTACTCCATTGCAAAAATAATAAATAGTAACTCATTATTAACATGTATACTTTTGCAAAAATAAGGTATGCAAGAAGGCGATTCCATGAGCGTATCATTTAAAAGGTTACAAAAATTGTTAAATATAGAACAACAGACAGATATTTTTCTGTTTATAGAAATTATAGATATTTGACAGTGAAGTATACAATATAAAAACAGCACATAGGAAATCTTTGTCATTGCTTACTGAAATCTATGGAATTCTGCTTTCATCAGACGTCTTGGCAATTTAATGCCCTCTATTAAAGCAACTTCCCTGATCTCCTCGCCCACACGCTTCCTGATCGAGGTGTTTCTCGGCCAATTTAATAAATCGAAATCCAACAAGCAGGCAGAAACTTCTTACGACCCCCAAGAAATAAAGCCGTCCGGAACACGCGAGTTCCTACACTAACATTTCGATGGCAGTAAACCCTGTAGGGAGTCACGAATTTTATAGCCAATAATCCCTGGTAAGTACGTTTTCCCTCGTAGACGCGCAGCTTTCGTCCGCCCTACGTTCCCCCAGTTCGCTCGCTTTGATGTGGGGTACTTAATGTCGGAGCAATTGTTTTGCTTTGCTTAAAAAGAAAGTCAGGCTGTGGAAGGGATGTTTGTGGAAATATTTACACAGCCGTGGCTGGTGGGAAATAAAAATTGTATGCAGCTTGGAGATGAGGATTATTCAGGGTGTTTAGAATTTTGTAGGTATGAAAAGTAAATGGTTGTGTCTCTTGAAAACATTGATTACTAATAATTTTTGAGTTACTCAATTTATTTCTGAAGCATCGGATAATCAATTTTTGGTCAACTGGTCCAAATATGGGTCAGAACTGATTTTTTCCTAAATTTTCTTCAGATACTGTGAAAATTATTTTAAGGCGCTGAATACAATACCTTTGGTGAATTTACCTCTGACGTCGATATTTCTCAGAAAATCCAAAACTAGTGCTTTTTTACATACCTGAAAATTAAAAAAGTATTTACTAAGAACTTTATAAGAACCTACCACTTTTACCACCATCAGAATAAAAAATTCCAAAATTATTGACAACTCTGATAAAGAAAGATGCATTATATTATTCATCATCGCAATTTAAAACAAGCTACAGCTTTAGGATTAAAAGTTGAAAAAATTCACAGAATTTTAAAATTATAAAGGCAAAGTTATTTATTGGATAAGAATACATATTGACTTAAATACAGAATGATGAAAATTAAACAAAATTTTTTATAAATGGATGAATAATTATGTTTTTGGGAAAACTATGGAAAATATTAGAAAACATAAAGACTTAAAATTACTCACTAGTTGGTCAGATAGATATGATGCAAATCATTATATTTTAAAGCCAAATGTTCAGTTATACAATTTTTGATAAAGATATGGTTATAATTGAAATTAAACGATTAAACATTACATTTAATAAACCTACATATGTAGGATTTAGTATATTAGATATTTCGACAACAATTATGCGTGACTTTTATTACAATTACATTAAAAACAAATTTAATGATAAAGCAAAATTGCTGTATACCGACACTGATTCTTTAATTGATTCTTTGTTGACGACATATATGAATATATTAAAGATGATATTAATAAATTAGTAGTAATTACTTTTTAATTTACAGGTATGTAAAAAAGTACTATTTTTTATTTTTTTTAGAAATATCGCGGTCAGAAGTAAATTTTATTAATAGCATCGTAGTCAGCATCTCAAAATACTACGAAAATAATATATTTGAGGAAAATTTTGCCCAAATCAGTTTTGACCAATATTTGGACCAGTTCCACTCAAAAACTTTACTTTTCTCCGAAATTTGTCGTGAAGTCATGAATTTTGGCTACAGGATCGTGTTCAGTGCATCGAATTACTTCGGAAATGATATGTGGCTCTCTTGGGTTTGGATTTTTGTTTTTTTTTTTTTTAGTGTTGCTGTGTAACAGTATGTTGTGTCTAATGGCTTTATATCGCATTAATACGTTGCTTTCTCTGGGGTGCCTCAAAGAAGCAACTTTACGCAAATGAACTAAAATAGAATTGTGAATAAATACGAATCCGTGAATGCGTTCATATGTTTAATAACTTAAAACGAATTGAGGAATGATCTGCAAATCGTCTCAGATTAAATCTGCCTAAATATAACGTATTGTATTGTAAGAAATAACCCGTAACGTATAGTCACATTCTAAATCATTTTATTTTACTGATTTGGAAGTAACTTTTGACAGCCTCCTAGTTCTATAAACATATTAACAATATACCTTTGAAAGCCCCTTATTTATGACTTTGTTGCTAGATTAATTAGAGTTCTCTCAT